GAAAGTCAACAAGGCTTAGACTTCTCTTGGGCCAGAATTGCTTCAGTACACCTCCATATGGGCCATCACACCCCCTTGGTTTGCAATTTATTTTCTTTTCTTTTAAATACTTTTAATTGTTTTAATTATTACTATTAATTCACCACAAATTAATTTTTCACAAAAAAAATCAGGAATCAAAATTGTAAATACATTTAATTATTTATTAATTTCACCATTAACTATTAATTTTGTAAATAAATGCTAACAATTAACTTAGCTTAATTTAGTTTTAAATTTTAATCTTTTTGTTAATAAATAAAGATCATATAGAGTTAGGTTTTTTAACATTTTTATTCATATTTTCTTAATTAATTAATTATCATCATTATTAGTTACTATTATTTTTGTAAATAACATGTAAATTAAGTAATTAGTTTAAATTAGCTTAACATTAACATTTTTATTAATAATTAAAATAAACTTAGAACTAGGGTTTTCTTTTGACTTTTAATTTATTTTATTTTCATTAAATACAAAAAAACATAAAAAACATCTTTCTTGTAAATAATTAAATAATTAGTATTAGGTTCAATTTTAATTTAATGCAAAAGGACAAAAAAGCTCGTAATTTCTCAAAAGGGTCAAAACACTAAGGACGTCCAGTTTAATTTCTATTTGAGCATTATTTTTTATTTGAATATTATGTAACTGTTTCCAGAATGTAATAGTAATTAGGTTTACCGCTTTCTTTACTTTCCGCACTTTATCAAAACGGGTCTTTGTTTTTTGGCGATGTATAGACCCGCGCCTTGTAATAGCGTAGCTTTTACCTTTCTGTATTTAATTTTCCGCACTCCTAACTGTTAATAAGCATGAAAGAATGTATAATAATTAAAAACAACTCGTAGCTCACAGTTGCATGATCAAAGATAAACATAACCTGAAAACAACACACAATGCACATGCCACTTCTAGGGTACGCCTCACTCGTTGCCTCGAAAGTGGTCGTCAAGTATAGTGTGTTTTAGAGGTCGCCATTATGTCTAAGATCCAGTTGCCTCGAAACGGTTGCCTCGGATTAAAAAGGATCTAGGACATTAGGGTTACTTCTAAGGTGTCCTACTATTGCTTCGGTGACCACACTGTCCCTACAATCGAATTGACCCGAACACCTCTAACGATGGTGCTCCCTATCTCTCAATGGTGGGATAGAACTATCTAAAGGACTCTTACACAACCTAATTCCTTAGGGTAGGTAGATGACTTATGGGTACTTGCTCTCTTCAAAAATAAACCAAACAACCTTTTCACACTGACACTTTCAAAAGTTTTTAAAACAAATTTTTCAAACACTCTTGAGGACAGATACAAGAGTCACTTAGAAATCTTTCAAAACGAAACTTTTTCAAACCCACTCACATTTGAAAAGCAAAAATTTTGAAAACATAAGAGCAAGTACCTAAGAGCCCATGGATAACCATGGATAGAAAGGGTGCTAACACCTTCCCTTTCTATAAATCTACCTCCCGAACCGAGAAACATTCTCGAAAAGGAATTTTGCTGTGCTTTTGTCCTTTCCATGTTGGAGAACATAAAAGACGGTGGCGACTCTTGCTTACCGCGACATACACGATCCAGCTAAAAACAGTCAGTTCTATTTCCACCGATCACACACGTCCATCTGACATATGTGCCAACTATTTATTTCTTCTAGACCAACAACCAACCTGATTATTTCGATCCTAGAAATAGGTGCAAAAACTTCATCGAAGTCTATTCCTTCTTTCTGTAGAAATCCTTTCGCCATAAGTCTTGCTTTGTGTCGAGTTACTTCACCTTTCAAATTCGTTTTCACTTTGTATACCCACTTGACATCAATTGCCTTCTTGCCTTGAGGCAATTCAACAAGTGACCAAGTGTTGTTGTCTTCGATAGACTTTACTTCTTTGTTCATTGCTTTCACCCACTTCGAATCCTTTAATGCTTCAGCTGCATTAACGGGTTCGACATCTGCATAGAAAGCATAATGTACCAGATCACCTTCATTATCTATTACATCATCTGATGTAATCACACAATCTTGCAATCTTGCAGGCATGCGTCTTGTTCTTTGAGGTCTGCTTGTACTTGGTATATCTGTTGGTTCCTCTTGTCGAACTTCTCTTTTGACTTGAGTTTCTGGCTCTTCAAGAAGGATTCCCACTGAATCTTTCTTGATATTTTCAGTCCAATCCCATTCTTTAAACTCATCTATGATCACGTCCCTGCTGATAACAATCTGCTTTTTCACTGGATCGAACAACTTGTAGCCTCCTGTCGAATGATATCCAACTAGAATCATTTGACTTGACTTATCATCAAGTTTTCTTCTCAACTGATCTGACACATGTCTATGTGCAATAGATACAAATACCTTCAGATGACTCAAGTTAGGCTTCACACCAGACCAATATTCTTATGGAGTAATTCCTTCTAGCTTCTTTGTAGGACATCTGTTCAAAATGTATGTTGCAGTCGAAACAGCTTCACCCCAAAACTCTTTAGGTAAATTCTTGCCTTTCAACATACTTCTCACCATATTCATGATGGTTCGATTTTTCCTTTATGCAATTCCATTTTGTTGTGGAGTATAGGGTGGCACCACCTCATGCACAATCCCTTCCTTTTCACATAATATGTCGAAGTCTTTCGACACATATTCTCCACCACCATCAGTTCTCAAAACTTTGAGCTTTCGACCACTTTGTCTTTCGACCATAGACTTAAACTTGGTAAATACTTCGATCACTTCACTTTTCTTCTTGATCAGGTAAGTCCATAGCTTTCGACTGAAATCATCTATGAATGTAACAAAGTATTTGTTACCTCCCATCAAATCCACCTGGATTGGTCCACATACATCAGAGCATATGACTTCAAGACTAGCCTTCGACCTGCTTCCTGCATCCTTGCTGAAGCTATTCTTGTGTTGCTTCGCCTGCACACATTCCTCACATACCTCGTTTGGAATGTCGATTTATGGCAATCCTGAGACCATATTTTTTCTCTTCAAATCTCTGATGTCTCTGAAGTTGAGATGGCCTAGTCTATAATGCCATATCCATTCATCTCTGCTAAATGCAGTCGAAAGGCACTTGTGCTCCATCACATTTAGTTCAATCTTGAAGTTCAATTCTGAGACATAGGAGCCTTCAAGATTAATCTCCCATTTGCATCAATGACTCTCATCAACTTATCTTCGATTGACACTTTATAATTCTTTTCGACCAACTGCCCTATACTGAGCAAATTGCTCTTCATGCCTGGTATGTACAACACATTGGAGATTACTGACCTTTTGCCATCTTTCCTCATAATTATAACATCACCAATACCTTCAGCTGCTAGGGTATTGTCATTTGCAAATTTTACCATATTTTTCATTGAGGGCTTTATATTGACGAACTAGTCTTTCCTTCCAGAAATATGTGATGAACATCCTGAATCCAAGTACCATTGGTCCTTGAATCTATCTTCATCTCTTGTTGTGACCATCAACATCATCTCTTCTTCTTCTTCTTCATGTTTTGCAAGCTTTGCATCACTTTCTTGATTCTTTCGTTTTTCTGGACAATCACTCGAATAGTGACCATACTTCTGACAATTGTAACATTGAATGTGACTCTTGTCAGGTTTTCGACCACCACCTCTTCCTCTATTTGCAACACCACCTCTTTGGTTGCCTTGGTATGGTCTTCTTTGATTCGACACGTTTCCTTCAATCTGGTTTCCTCTACCATTCGATTTGTTGTAGCCACCTCTACCTCTGTCGAAACACTTTCCTATGCCTTTGGTCTCTTTTGCTGAATGTGCCTGCAAGGCCACATCACTCTTCGATTTTCCTGCAGTTCTTTCGTTCATTCTTTGTTCATGAGATTCAAGCGTCCCTTGAAGCTCTTCCTTTGTCAATTTCGACAAGTCTTTCCCCTCTTCTATCGCCACCACTATATGGTCGAACTTAGGAGCTAAAGATCTCAAGATCTTCGACACAACAACTCTTGTTGTTAACGCTTCTCCACATATCTTGATTTGACTTACTAGTTTTGTAACTCTAGTGAAGAAATCAGATATGCTTTCACTGTCTTCCATCTGAAGCAGTTCATAGGTCCTTTTGTGAGTTTGTAACCTCACTTCTTTCACTTTCTCAGCGCCTCCAAAAGACTTCTCAAGGATTTCCCAAGCTTCTTTTGCAGATTCTGAATCACTAACCTTTTCGAAATTGTCTGGGATGACACATTGATGAATTATAAATAATGCTTTATAACTCAGTTTCTCAGATTCTATGTATTTCTTCTTTTCTTCTTCTGAAGCATTTTCTCCAAGCGCTTCGACTCCATCTTTTACAAGGTCCCAAAGACCTTGACACCTGAATAAGACTTTCATCTGTTTGCACCAATTCTCATAGTTGTCAACTTTCAGAATTGGTAGGGTTGCTGGATAATTTGCATTCCCATAACTTTTCATCGTGAATTCTTCAATCGTTCTTGATTGACACTTCCCTTGAATCGAAACAAAGCTCTTGATACCAGATGTTGGAAATTCACCAAATTCTATGATGAATTTCTACCACAATGACAATTTAATTATGAGACAAACAAAGAAAAGAAGACAAGACAAATAACTTCTGCAGAGTTTCTCTCTGCTCACAAACTGTGAAAAATTTCTTATTCACTTTGCAAATGCAAAATACTGTGAATGACTTGCTTGACTTGCTTACAAAAATAGGAGTTACTCCCTCTATTTATAACTGAGCTTACACCCTAAGCCCAAAGCCCAAAATATCTTTTTATTACTAAATCAAATCTAATTTATTCTAGACTTAAATCAAATTTATTTAAATCTAAAACAAATCAAATCTTTTCGACACATAGTTTCGACACATTGGATTACAATTTAACAAACAACTGATTGCCCGACAAGAGCCAACATAGTAGATGAACTAGTTTATTTTCCAAATAAATAACTAGGAAATATGAGAACTACATTGTGGTCGTCTTTTTTTTGTGAGCAATTTCAACCTCTAAAGCTTTTTGGGCATTGTGCTGATCTTCTAAACCATATGGCGCTCTTTCCACCTAAAACGATTCATAAAAAAATGTATTAATTAATAATATAATAAGTTAGCAATGAAATAAATAGAATCAGAATATTAAATATATCACTCAAATACGTACAAAAGCTATACAATGATATTAAATTCTCTACAATAATACCTTAAGTTTCAAATAACGGAAATAGACATAATCTTCGGTTAATGTTTTGTATGTAGTATTAAAACTTCTGTTATCAATAGTTTTTTTTTGGGAGCAGCAAGAGCACCCATATATATAACTAGAGGTTCTTGCTGCATGGTCATATCACCATATTTTGTGACATGAGAAGGGATTGATCTTTCACGGACCTGTAGATCAATGGAAAAATATTGAATAGACATTTATAAAGTTAATAGAATGACTTACAAAAGAGTATTTTTGTTGCAGAGTTTTGCTAGACCTATCACTTATGTCACTGCTCATCCATACATAAAAAAGACAAAAATACTTAATAACTAGTATTTGTATTAGCTAAAAAATACCAAAAAAGTATTTAATTATTGAACATACCTATCTTCCATCCAAGAAATGCTGTATAAATCTCCTAAACAAACTTCATACTCAGGTGGGGTAGGTATTGGTGAGTCTGGACAGTAAAATCCAATACTAGACTCATTGGCAACAGAAGATGTAGTTGCATAGACGTTTATTTCATTTGGAAGATGTCCTTCAAACATGCTCCCAGCTTCATTTGCATCTATGTAAATCACCTTTTTTTTTCATCGAATAAAAAAAATAACATTAAATGCATTGATAAAATAATTAGTAATTATAACAAATTACTCAAGAAAACTTACCATTTTTTTATAGGAATTAGATTCATGTTTTGCAATCAATTCCTGTACAAAATCCTCTACCCTTAAATCGGTCGTTGGCATGACTGTTCAAATAACAAAAAAAATTCTTTAGAGATACAGTACATTATAACATAATAAAATAAACAAATTAAATGTTATAAAAAGTATATAATTTATATATCTGATGTTACAAGTATTAAGCAATCAAATATTCTCCCAACTACCAAAAACATATTTAAATTTTAAAATCATATACAAATTGTAAAAAGTAATGTTACTAACCTATACGGCGATAAGCACTGTTGCCAAATATGTATATGAAGATGTTATCATCTGGTCCAGTATTTCGTAAATATTTACCACATTACAGCCTCACCAGTATAATCCTAAAAAAATAAAATAAAGATTTGAAAGAAGTAAGTGATGTTTTTGGTTAGAAAGAGATAAATAAATATTTTATATTTCTGATTCATTGAGTCACTAATATAAAGTATGAATATACCTTGGGAACACCATCATAAATATTTGAGCCATTTGGTCTATTATATATAGACCCTTTACGTGGGTTTTCTTCATTGGAGGCGATATCGTCATACATCATTACAATGATGTTTTCATCTCTAAGACCACCATCTTTTAACACATGATAAGCATGGCATACTGTTTCTAGTGATTTCTGGTAAACAACCGCTAGTCCTCCAAACTATCGAATAAACTTACTGACTGTTATTCAATTTCTCTGGTAACTCGCAGGATCGACTAGATTGATCCTAGGACGTGTTGGTCATTAGGGTAACTCTCATGATCGAACTGGTATTCATGGTTGGTATTTAGAATGTTGTGTAGGTGTTTAACTTACTTCGAAAAATCTAAAGGTGTGATCAAGTAAATGTGCGCGAAACTAAATTGCATGAATAAAGGTCAATTGTAAAGACATGTAAAAACTGCATAAAAGACAAGTAAATGACTTCGAAGTATAACAGCAGTTAATGTAAAAGATTCTCTGGAATGTAAAAGATTCGAAATATGAAGAAAGCGTTTAAATGCAAGAAAACTGTAAAATGGCTTTAAGTAAAAAAGGTGTTCGAATGATAAAAATTTGAAGATAAAGGCATGAAATGTATAACAGTTTCTGAAATGTAAAGTATTTGAAGTGAGAAGAAAGCATTTAAAGGTAAGGCATTAGTAAAAAGACTTCAAATGAAAACATTTTAAATGCTAAAGCTTGTAAATGGTATTGACATGAAGATAAAGGAAAGTACTGGAAATGATAAAGAGTTTTCATTAAATCATAAACATGTGGTGTTATCATACATACATTGCTCGTGCATTCGTTTCCCTAGCCATGTGGTAATTTGAATGTTTACTGAGTTTTTTGTACAATAGATATGACACACGAAATCCTAATGCTAAGACTTCTATTTATACTACTTCGACCATAACGGTCTTGCTATAAGATTCTGCCACGTTCAGAACATGCAGAGCAATGCCTCTCTCTTGCTTCCACGCGTCTTCGAATGCTCCAGCGCATATATTTCAAATTTCGAACATCCCGCTTGCATTTGAATTTCAAATGTTTTGGCACTTCTTCGCTTCGAACGCATTTCTTAGACACAACCTTGTTATCATTTCGAGACTTCTTTGGATATATTCTCATAACTGTCACTCGAAGCTCCAAGCTTTGATATGCCTATTCGAAGCACTGCTTCTACCATTTCGAAACATGACGTTTTGTTTCATTTCAATCGAAACGTCTAATTTGTTTACTTCTAATAATATCATCAAAATCTTCAGCCAACAAAATTCCCCTTTAAAATATGTATTTCGATTCCTTTGAGAAATACTTATTTTAAACATATACACAAGATTTTGATGCGACCTTCGAATCATCGTAACATTTATTGCATATGACTCCAGTCACGTCAATCATAACGCTTTTCAGATCCCTTAACCGCCTTGAACCATTTCACAGTATGGTGCAGTTACAAAACAATGATTATCTTTAATCACGCCTATTACCAATGTTAACTTTATGCCACCTCTTCATCAAACCAACCCACGATTACCACGTATCACAACCTTACTCAGTGGATGCTTAAACTTCCACATTATAAAAAACCCATCAACTTAGTCTTTTCTTTTCTTCCCACATTCTGAATCTTTTCTCCTTCTTTTCTCACCGAAACCCTAAACTTTCAACATTCTTCCAACAATGTCTTCTTCAACTTCATCTCAAATAAAAAAGGCTTCTAAAAAGAAAGGAAAGACCGCAGGAACCATAATGGAAAGCAAGGTTGGCACCTACCAAGGTCAATTTGTTCTTGTTCCCCAAATGATCTCAAAAGAGAAAGAAATGCTTTATGCATCCCAGGTACTAATTCCTACTAATGCTGCTGGCAAGAGGTTAGCTTTAATGGGCCCTCTTACAGTTTTTGAAATTTTAAAAGACACCAGAAATTTTTTCCCAGTTTGCTATAATTTCAAACCTCTGTTTAATAAAATGGACGCCCCTAAGACAATAGAGTCTTCTGATTCAACCACCGTAGAAAATCCAATTGTTCCTCCTAAGGACCCTTTCGTACTAGATTATGTAAAGAGTAACTTCAAACCGTTTCGATCTTGCCCCACCTCCGACACTGCTTATCATAACTGGTTTAATAAGGTAGAAGCTAAGAAATCCCAGCAATGGGAAGAATTAGGTATCTACAACTTGATTAAGCTGTCAAAGCCAGGTTTTACTTATAACCACCCATTGTTATTCGCGTCCCTATATTTCTGGGACAACACTTATAATACTTTCCATCTCCCCGGTGGAATGATTACCCCTACCTTTTTTGACATAGCGGCCATTACTGGGCTATCACCAATAGGAGAAACATATATCCCTGACAATGAAGAGCATTCGAGTATTATCGACTTCGAAGTCAAGCTAGCAAGCTTTTCAAAGTTTATCAGCCACTATCACACTGAAGGAGACAGTGTGTCGGATGTAGAACACATTGCTTTCCTTACCTTATGGCTGTCAAGGTATGTCTTTTGCAGCAGATCCCTACAGGTAGCCAGTAGGTTTATTCCTCTAGCTAGAGATTTGCATGAGAATCGGAGGGTGTGCTTAAGCGAACTGCTATTAGTTGATCTTTATGAAAGCCTAAGGTCAGCTGTTTCGAGTCTAAAGTCTCACACCTCCAAGAATATCCTGCTAGCTGGCCCTTTCTGGTTACTTCAGTTATGGCTAAATGCCATGTTCGAACCTTCATTATCAACTGCCAACACTATTGCTGAACAAGACCCAGAAATAGTGGATAGAATCATCGAAGGCACTAGGCTGCGAAGACTAACCCCCAACGACGCTAAGGATGATTTCAAAGTTCTCTTCTCAAAATATATCATGATTTTCTCCAAGAGGCATAAGTTCGAAGAGACCATGGAGCCTTTTGCTTCAAGGGCTCATGGACCTTCATGGTTCACCATGGCTCTCTCAGAAGTTGTCAAAAGCAAAGAGATTCAAGATGTATGGAGAGCCTTTTTGCTACCCAGACTAATCTCTTCAAGAATAACTCCTGCTAAGAATCAGATTTTCCTTTTCGCTTATCAGCCCAACTTCGTTTCAAGACAGTTTGGCTTGTGCCAACTAATTCCTGAACCCCTATTTCAAACGGAAAGTGCCATCACCTCTGGGCGAACCTTCAAGGCACGAGAAGCCAAACTACAGCAGGAACAATACCAAGGCTTCGCCCAGTTTGAACTAATAACTTTCGAACCTACACACCTTACAGCAAAGGGGTTTCTGGAATGGTGGACAAAGTTCTATCAGACTTATATGTTCGATACTCTTACTATTCAGTAGAAACTAACTGATGCATTCGATGTGCAGGTACCATGCAAGAAAGGTATGTTCACTCATGCCAAAGAGACTAAAGCTTTTCAAAATTATTTCGAAACTACTTATGATCCCACACACTTGGAATCCACTGTGCATCAAGCAGCTGAGATCCTGAAGGAAAAATTCAAAGAAAAAGTTTCTAAGTTAAAACTTCCTTCAGGGTTGTCACCTGAGGATAGGTATAGGTTGGCATTCGAAATGCATCCACCTAAATTTCCTAGATTACCTACCTCAGAACTGGCTCTGGCTTGGTTTCCTCCATACCCTTGGTGGTTCACTTGCAAAGAAATGTTCAAATATCTTCAACAGAAACCAAAGCCATTTGAGACTGTGACATGGGCTCGACACTGGCTCCACGATTTCCCAGGACACCTTCGCTATGACCTTTCTGCCATGTCAATTAAATCTGATCAAGGCACAGGTGTGAATGCTTGGGAAAATCCCAAACGTTTCTCATTTTCTATATCTTTAACTTTTGCCTTAATTGTTTCGATTTTCAGCCATCAGGATAAAGACTGCTGCTTCAAAGTCAAAAGAAGGGAGCGCCTCTCAAGCCTCTATCGAAACCATTGACAATGTGACTCCATCCGAACCAACAACAATTGTTGCAACAACAACAACAACACCACCACCAGTAATAACCAGTGTTCCAACTCCACAGGTAATCACTTAGCCTTGATGTTTCGAATTCACTAATGTTTCATGATTTGCATCTAACTCTTTGTTTAAATCTTTTCAGACCAACAAACTTCCGCCTACCACTCCAAAGAAGCGAAAATCAAACACTACTGGGGAAGACCCCAAGGCTGGAGGGAACTTACCAGCTGCTTCGAAGAAGAAGCAGAAGAAGGATATTTCAAAAAGTGTTGTACCAACTAGTGTCTCTGGACTCGATTCCAGGGATGCTGCTCCCTCACCTAAATCCAAAATTCCATCTTCGACCTCCAACGTAATGTTGGAAGGCATAGCTAGCAACCTCTCTTCTGAGAGTCCACAGGTAATTTTGAACTTTAAATCTTTGACAGAATAATCATTCATTACCTTGGTGCATGCTTTTAATATTCTTTTGCTTCTTGCAGGATATTTTAAATCCAGCTTTTACCACTTCGACCTCACCATCAAAAGTTGCTGCTCTGATTAACTCTTCTCCTCAAGGAGATTCCAGCAACCTTGTACAGAACAAAGGTTCCTCCAATAT